AAAATATAACCGTTTGGTTATAATTTTATTATGCAAAAACCGAATCGAACCGAACCGAACCGAAACCGAACTGAACCGAACCGAAATCGAACCGAACCGAACCGAAACCGAACTGAACCGAACCGAAACCGAACTGAACCGAACCGATTAAATCTATATAACCGTTTGGGTATGATTTTTTTATAACCGAAATAACCGAACCCGAAATAACCGAACCGAAAACCGAACCGAAATCCGAAATGACCACCCCTAATTTTAGCCATTATTACAAAAAAAAAATGTGGATAATTTATACCATAATTGGATCAGTGCCTAAAAAGGTGATTGGAGCAGGCGCATACATACATGCATGCACATTTACTATTTATTTATTTAAAATTAAATAATTAAATAGGTTAATCATTTTTATATAAATACCGAATGAAAAGGGCCAAATCCAGGTGCACAAGAGACGATAGTCTCAGTAGCGAAGAGAGCACCTTCAACCCTTGACCTTGAGTCTGATTTTCTCACCTCCCAAACAGCCCATTTCTCTCGTTTTCCTTCTGTGTCCCTTTTTTCCATGAATAGGGTCGGAAAATGGGCAGGTACTTAAGGAAGAGCAAAACGGCAGACGAAGCTGTCGCTTTGATGGATGTTTCTCACTCTTCGCTTGGTGTTCTCACTCGTGCCAAATCCCTAGCTCTCCAGAAATCCTCCTCCTCCCTCCCGTCTTCTCCTCCTCCCCAGCCGCAGCAGCAGCAGCCGCTTGTGGACGGGAGAAACTGCCAATTGTTGTGATTCGCCCCGCCAAACGGAGGAAGCAGAGGGAGAGAGCGACATGCGTCGAAAGCCCTAACCCTAATTCCCAAAAATTGGATTCTCCGTCGGGTTCTCTTCGCGGCTCCGGCGGCGATGGGTCTCGCTCGGGTTCGGTTGCCGAGAGTGTTGTGTGCGCGAAGGAGAAAGAGATACTGGTCGGTGAAAAAGATGCCAACAAGGATTTACGCGTCGAAACTTCGTCTGGAGAAAATTTCTCCGGGCTTGAAGGCAGAGAAAGGTAGGGTTTTTCTTCTGATTTACTTTTTTCTTCTTCCAATTTCAGGTATTTCTTCGTTTTGATTCAGGCGAAAGTTAACACCACAACAAGTTTTCGACTTTTGAACTTTTCTTGCTTGCTTGCTGAGAAAATCAACATAAAGTGTTTGAAAATTTTGTTTTTGATCTCGGTTATCTGTTGGTTGTCTGAAACTCAGTTTTACTGCAGAAGAAAAAGAAGAAGGAATGTAAGAATTAAAATTCCTCCATTGTTATTAATTAAACCTGGGTTTTTCTATTCTCCGGTTTGAAATATATGCTTTTCCTCTGAAATTTTCAGCTTTTGATTTTTTCTTTTTTGTCCTGACCACCAGACTTCTCTCTGTTTCCCTAGAAAGTAATATTAATCAATGGGATATTGTTTCCTTTCACCAACTTTTCTTGACAGAATTCCATTTTTTTTCTTTCTTTCAATCTCTTCGTATGGTGAAATACGTACGTACCTGGGAGGTGATAGTGACAATTGGGGTTTTACTGAACCTTTTTATACGCCTTTTATGCAAAGAATGTTGTATTTGTAAGTGAAATGTCTCTGTAACTCTATGCGGTTCTCTTCCTTGCATTAAAAGCTTAAAGGTACAATGTGGTCATCTTCTGAACAAACAGGTTAATCGTTTGGCGGGTTTGCATAATTTGGCACTTGTAGCTATCCTCACTTGTTTTCTGGGTTTGATGTTCAAATGGATTAAAGTGAGGTTCTTGAAATGTTCGGCGTTGATTCTTGGTAACCTGCATTGCCATTTGCCCAAGCAGTTTTCCGTTGAAGTATCACATACCCGAAAAAGGGCTTAGGCTTTTTGATCTTTGTTTATAGCGTCTTTTTCTTTAAATCTGGAAACTAAAGCTGTATGCATTTGCTACTGGTTTACGGAAATAAAGGTTGTTTGCATTTTTTCCTTGGGAGAGGATTGTATAACATGCAAGTGGCTATTTTCTTTTCTTTTTTTTTTCATTTTCTCTTCTAAGCAGGACCAGAAGGGAATCTACGCCATGCAGTTTGATAAGGGATTCTGAAACTGTAAAGATCCCGGGATCATCCATGAGGCTTACCCGTGGTGTAATGGAAACCAGCAGTCCGAGAGAAGAGAGTTTGTCTGGCCATATCCTACCGTCAACACATGAGATGGACGAGTTTTTCTCGGGGGCTGAGGAAGAACAACAAAGACGGTTCATTGAAAAGTATGAACTTTGCCCGCTAGTTTTCTTCTTTTAGTTCCCTGTTTGATCGATTCGGCAGCAACATTTGGTTTTGTCGATTTCAGGTACAACTTTGATCCCGTGAACGAGAAACCACTGCCAGGACGCTACGAGTGGAAGAAGGTAGACCATTAGAAAGGGCTAATACAGACTCTTTCATGACATTTACTGCTAATTAACGGTTGGTCGGTGAACAGGAATCATGTCTCAGCCCCAAGGGTTGGTGGCTCGATTTCCAGTTTCCGTCACCCGTTTAACTTTTAACATGTAAATCAAAAGTAGGAATCCTGTTTAGCCTTTTAATGGTCTGTAACATAGCGGAGGAGGGCAGGCCCGTTCAAAACCGATACCAACCCTCTTAACGTTAAGGTTTAGGGTTTTCGGTTCAGTTTAGTTGCTTTAGTCGTTTTTTGTTTTGGTACAGGAATTGTACTCATTGCATTTCTCTTGTTCTTATGCACCGTGACCTTCTCATCTATCATTGTGTATACATTGCATGAATGGATGATCTTTTATGAACTCGCCCTTCTGTCCATCCAATTCGTCCAAGCATTTGTTATTTGGTTGACGACTGACCAATCTTATTATATGATCCTACGTATGATTATTTCTTCTGGAAAGACTGAGACTTCTCAAGCTTTCATTAACGAGAACTAACGAACACGCAGGCCAGATGCAGAAAACCAAAACCGCTAACTGACAATGGAGGGACAAATGGTAATGGTGGTGGATGGGGATACTGTCTCTTAGTGTTTCTTTGGGTTCTGGTTTTGTTGGTGAAATCGTCAAAGTGGAAGTGATTCTTCGTCATCGTGTCCACTGTACTTTCCACTTTGGTTTTGTGCCCACCACCCTTTTTTTCACGTTATCTTGTTCGTGTATTTCGTGGCCACCCACCACCATCACGAAAGCCATATCCTTCATCCATTGCTCAAATGGTTTTTGATCACTTGAGAGAAGTCCGTCTCGTTTTATTTGTCAGAATCTGGATTTCAAACAAGATTTGTCCTTCTGATTTGAGACCTCCAGACAAAAACAAAAACGAATAAAAAAAACATTATTGCAATGTAAAAAAGGAATAATGATTTGTCTTGTTTTGAGTGCATGCATATTTGCAGTGACCCATCTTTGAAGATGCCATCCTAGATCAGTTTCCAATCCGGATTTGAGTCTTCCGTTGGAGAAATGCATTCAACTGGACTTTTTTCAGTATTCTAACAGATGTTGTTGAGCTAAATGTCCAATAAACTTTCGAATTATCCATTCGTAGATGCCATTTGATCCCAATATGCAAATGACAATGTTTTACACGGTATCATACGAGATTATATATATATATATATATGCAAAACATAAACGTTTGTAATTATATATACGTGGGTGTATATGCTTACCATTTTGGAAGTTTCTCTAAGAGAATCTAAAACACTTTTCATGAATTCTGTGACAAATGACAAGGTAGGGTCCACATGAGAGAAGAAAAGATTTGGATTCTTGTTCGAGTCGGGTGTCTGAAGTGCAGCCACTTGAACTGAATGGTATCTGACAAAACAAAAAACTCACTCTGCAACATAACGTCCGTGTTGTGTGTCTTGGGAAGTTGTAATATGATGTTTCTTTTTTGCCAAGGATAAGAAGTTCACATGCCTCAAACACTGTTCAACTTCGGAACTTGTAACATGAATCTCAGCAGATCCTTCTGAGATAGATGCGGTTTTACAGATTTTTCCATAGAAGAAAGCACCATAAAGAGAGAAGAACTTTACCCAAAGCTTGTTCCTTTCTGCAATCCAAACCCATTTCTGACATAGAAATTTCCAGGAATTTAAAATCTTTCAGTTTCTCTTTTTGTCTGACATGAATCATTTGACGTGTAGAGCTTCAAATAGGCCATTCCAATCGAGAATTACAACGAACAATATGGAAGAGAATCCATGAAGGAAGAAACCAAGAGTTCTTGATACAAATTGCAAATACTATTGCATTGTGAATCAAAAGAAAGGGTTTTTCATTGAGGTATAGAGCACTCGGATATGTTCATAGTTTCTTTGCACAAGGCAATACAGCAAGTCTGCGGTAACACAGTATAACACAACATTGTCTGGACAATACCAGATATAGAGAACAAGAACAGGAAAGGGATGGGACTTTGTCAATATATCATCAGACTCGACTCTAAAAGGGAGGGAGTGACAACAATCCTAACCTGATTTGGTGTAGATGCGGATACCGACAGCTAAACCGAGGATGGCGAGTGGTACAAGGAACTGGAGTATCTTGACGATGAACTCGGAGGTCTTGTCCTGATTGTAATGTGGCTGTTGAGGAGGCGTGTACTTTGTTTTCTTGGGGATGGTCTCGGTATCGATCTCTCCTACACAGTACTGACCCATCATCTCTCTTGCACTCTCGCTGTGACCCACGTCCTCAAAGTCATCCGTTGCATCTTTACCTGTCGAGAAATTAACATAAAACACAAGGATTAAAACCTAAAAGGAACCCTAGCATTTCATTAGTACCACTGAAAGGTGTCACGAAAATACCGAGCTCAACTCCAGTTCAACAATGAGTAAAAGACTTACTTGACACCATTGAGGACCTTTTTTTTTTGTATATTTCGTATAAGTTTGAGACTGTTTGGATTCTTTCCTTGTGTTAAACTTGTAACATTACATATAGGGACTCGGAGTCATGTGAACATTTACAGACAATTTTAAGACTTCATGTCTCAGACTCTCATATGACAACAAAACATATAATGCATTGAGCAATATGTTCAGAAAATATATCACACAAGACTGATTTCCAACTATACATGCTAAAGCATCGCATCCAGCATCAAAAAGGATATAAAGCGGCGCGTCGCAAGGGATTATTATACACTTTTAAAAAATCAGAACTTTCTGATCAGAGGAAATTAAATATACTGTTCTTAACTCCATTGTTTGTATGACTTTGTTTTTTGGTAACAGAAGAGATTTTTAATGCAGAGATCATGCAGATTTCCCCACGGTTACGAAGGCATGAGGCACTAAACCGAATAGCCTGTAGGAAGGTCTAAGCAGGGAACTCATGAGTCGGGGTTTTATAAATACCTGTTGAAGACAAGAGAACTTCATCTCCACCGGGATGGTCCTCGAGAAACTTGGTGACATCATACACCTGCATTGCGAATGTTTGAAGCAGAGGACAGGGCAAAGGAAGTGAGGGAGATGTTACAATAGGTAATCATTGATCTATCCGACAATCAAAGTCGGTATTCAAATTCCCAAACTCTGAAAAAAACTTCAAACGATAAGGCATAAAACAAGCAAAGTTCAATTGAAACATGATCAACCTGGAATTCTACACTAATGGAGCAACAGAGAATCACATTATTCTTCCAAAACTGACTGAAAATCCTTTCCTTTTCTGTTCCCAAAAAAAAAATCAAAGAAATGGCAAATGCTTCATGAGCTACAACCTGAACAGCAAACTGTGACAGCTAATGATTGATTACTAGAAATGGCAGCACATATGAATTGCACAGAATGAGACAATGAAGAGTAGAAGCAAAGGAGGTGAAAACAACAATTTCACAATAAAAAATTGTCAGATGCATATTTGACCTCCCTGAACTTGTTAAGAAATATTTATGATTGCATGTGTGAACACATTTCTTGCTCAGATTTGATCTAGAACCAAAACAGGCACAAAAAAGAAACAAAAGTGCATGAATAATGTATCAAAACATTAAAGATTCCAGCTTTCTTATGCTGTGATTCAGAAGAAAGGCCACAAAAAAACGCCTCTATCAGTCTAGTAGACCAAGTAACTACGAACTCAAGATCCTGGGGAATCTCAAGCATGGATCCACACTACATAAAGGTCAAGGTTAATCACAGAACACTGGAGATTGAAGAAAATGATCGGCCTTTTACACAAGCAAAGACTCGATGCGTGTAATCTATACATCCCAGTAGGGAGTAGCGTGAAGAATCAGACATCTTGGTTAATGTCAGGTCGGAAGAACCATCTTCACACCTTTTTTTTCTAACTACATATTGTCACTGGGTTTTAGATCAAGAGAGATGAATCCCCAGCATTTGCTGAATAATTACAAATTTTTCCAATCAACCCACCAAAGGATTTGATCAAAATCAGCCTAAACAGAGCATACACACCTAGATTCTAAAAAAAAAGCTCAATCTCGAGACGAAAAAGGCAAAAAACACCTAAACTCGAAAGAAAGGGAAGAAGAAATACCTTGCCATTGATGACGAGCCAACAATCTTTAGCGTGGTTGTGCTGTGAGACTTCGGAAAGAGCGAAAATCTTCCCTTCGTCGGCCATTGTTCTCTCCGAGATTAGCCCATCAAAAGCAGAAGCTTTAAAGGTTTCAACTTTATAACAGAGAGAGAGAGAGAGAGAGAGAGAGAGAGAGAGAGAGAGAGAGATTTCAAGAACGGTTGGGAAGTTGAGTCGTCTCAGGCCGGTTCGGTGAGTCTGGTTACAGTGCAAACCGGTTTGATAGCCTCCAATTCTGAAATTATTCCAAGAAAAAAACAGCAGAATGACCAATGGATTCTTTTATGCGAAATTTCAAAAACAAAAAAAAATTGATACATATTGTGAACTTAGAGCAAATATTAAACCGGTCGGTTATAGATTTGGTATAGTATTTAAGCCTAATGCTCAGGTGGGTGGGGTAGGTGGTGTGTTGGCCCCTCCTTTTTGACCTAATGATATTCAAAGGGGTTGGTGATTTTATTATCAATTTCATAATTATGATTCATGGAGTTTCAAAACTTTATATGTAAAATATAATGTCAAATGGACTAACATATTCCAAATCCAATTGAATCCTCTTACCAATATATCAATCTTGTATTGTTCTTGTAACACATTCTAAATTTATTCCGTCATCTCTCATTTCTTTATAATTATCAAGTGTTAAATCGTAAACTAGTATTGTAGAAAAAAAATGTAGTATTAGTTGAAGGTAGGGTGGATATTTCAGTATTCAATTCGGGTTTGGTTTTGGAATCGTTTGGTTCGGTTTTATAAAAATATGTATTAATCGATTATTATCTTATATTCGGTTCGGTTTCGATTTTTACAAAAAAAAATAGATTTTTTTTAAAAAAATTTAGTTTTGTTGAATTTTTTAAAAATTCATCTCGGTTAGATTCGGTTTCGAAATAATTGATTTTCTGAAAAATTATCGTTCAAAAATTTTGGACCATTCGATTTAAAAATGCTATCATATTTTCGGTTTAATATGGTTCGGTTTTGAAAAATTGTACCGAACGTCACCTCTGAAAGAACCAACTAGAGTGGTGCAGTAACGGATGAAGGACCAAAACCGCAATTCTGAACATTCGAAGGGATCAAGGTGACGAAATGAGGGCCTAATTGTTCAATTTAGTTTCATCGGGGTCATTTTGTAAATTCGGAGGTCGATATCGTATTTTACATGACTATATGGGTCAAAATGTAATAAGAGTATTAATTCGGGACATATTTTAATTTCTTGACTTGTTGGGTAAGTCTCTTAATATTCAATAAGTTCCCTCACATGCCAAAAGTTGCATTCCAGCCCTGGCTTTCATCTCTCTCCCTGTCTCGTGATTTTTGCTCTGGCGAAAACCTGAGAACTGCATTTCTCGAATCCTCTTTATATTTGACCTCGCCGAAGATTGGTCGCTGTTCATCTGATTACCTTCTCTGTAGCTAGGGCTTCAAAGGGTTCTGAGTTATGGCGGCGACGATGATGGTGAGTTCGGCGGGAGGGTTACTGGCAATGCTCAACGAACCACATCCTTCGTTGAAGCTTCACGCGCTCTCCTATCTCAACAGCTTGGTCGACCAATTCTGGCCCGAGATCTCCACTAGCGTCCCGATCATGTATTCTCTTCCGAACTTTTTCGGGGCTGGGGTTCTCTTGTTGTATTAGGGTTTTTTCACTTGATTTTTTGGTTGAAGTTTGTCACTTGATCTGTATGCTTGGTCAGAAATTCCGGGAGAGATTGTGGGATTTCATCAAGTCTTGTGCTCTTGTAGTTCTCTTAGTACTTGAGCCATCGTGGTCTAGGGAAAAGTTTGAAAATTTTCATTAGCTATTTAGAAATTTTCGAGTTTCTGAAATTAGAATTTGACATAAACTTCGAAATGAGCCGTGGGAAATTTGAGTTGAGACCGATTTAACTTTAGCGAGTCGAAGAAGTTAGTTTTGTCGATTCTGCATGACCATTCGATTGTTATCTTCGTGTAAAATAGTGTCGTAACTTTCACCTGTAAATGGTATGTGCTTTATTAGAGTTTGATGCCTTCTTACAGATGCCATTTAGGTAGAGATTTCGATTATTTAGATGGCAAGATGGCATTTCCTATTCATTCATCATTTGAATCTGTATAGGCGCATGGCTTAGGGTTCCGATTATATCAAATCTTTATATCTGGAAAACGATCTTCAGTGCTTGATAGCTGACTTGCACAAACAATTTTGTTCTGTAGAGAGAGCTTATACGAAGATGAAGAATTCGATCAGCATCAGAGACAGCTTGCCGCGTTGCTTGTTTCCAAGGTTTGCTTTTGCTAAAATTTTGTGGTTTTGCCTAATAGGCATTTTATGTTCTCTACATGTGAGTGGAGGATAGAGGGGATGTGAATGAAGTACAATATACATTTCTGATAATGGTTGTGAATCTGGTTTCAGGTTTTCTATTATTTGGGCGAGCTTAATGATTCTCTGTCTTATGCCCTTGGGGCTGGATCCTTGTTTGATGTCTCAGAAGATTCGGATTATGTCCATACCCTTCTGGGTAAGGATCATGGAGCTCGATCTTGTCTTGTGCCCTCTTTCTTGCACATGTTTAACTTTAGCCAGTTTTTATTATTGGCATGACTGTAACATGCAGCGTTTGACAGGAGCATGTCAAATAATCTAATACCAGAGTAAGTGTACAGCTTAGAAAACAAATCTTCTCAATTTGCAGATCTGGTCTCTTTTACCGGGTTTGTTTATTTGAGCCACTGAGGATTTGCACTCGGGAAATTATGCTGGAATAGGCACGATGATTGGTGATTCATTTGTTGTTTGAAAATTGAAGTAGAGAAGGTCCGTACAAGGGTGTAACGACTCTTGAAGTTGTTATTCTTGTCCTAAAAGCATATGTATCTCTGCAGGCTAGAGGAGGGAATACACTTGCTTGAATTTAGTCAGTGCTAAGGGAAAGAATTAGATATGCTCCTTGAGTCTGTGACCAAATTTAAGACCAACTTGAAGGATATGCCCGCTTTACTGTACTATTTGAACAGGTTTATGTTTAAACATGTACTGATCTGATGCTTATATTATGTTTTCAGCGAAAGCAATAGATGAGTATGCTAGTCTCAGGTCAAAGGCAGTTGAGTCTAATGAGGAGGTCGTCATTGACCCAAGACTGGAGGCCATTGTTGAAAGAATGCTTGACAAGTATGGGGAGTTTATTGTTTTTGTGGACATAAAGTTTTACCTTTTTCAATTGTTCTTAGATTGCTTGTTGTTTTGCAGATGTATTGCTGATGGGAAGTATCAGCAGGCGATGGGCATTGCGATAGAATGTCGGAGACTGGATAAATTGGAGGAAGCTATCACAAAAAGTGATAACGTTCATGGAACTTTATCATACTGCATCAATGTTTCTCATTCCTTTGTTAACCGCAGAGAATATAGACATGAGGTGAGTCGCTTATTACTGCATGAAATGTGGCATACTCTTGGCATTTATCAGCTTGAATATTCGATTGAAAAATTACTTCCCTAGGTTTATTTGATTCTATTTTGGCATTAAAATGATGATGTTCCCATTTCGTTTAATTTTTGTAGGTGCTACATTTACTTGTTAACGTGTATCAGAAGCTTCCTTCTCCAGATTATTTGAGCATTTGTCAATGCCTTATGTTCTTGGACGAACCTCAAGGTGTTGCAAGCATATTGGAGAAGCTTCTTCGTTCTGAAAACAAGGATGATGCTTTATTGGCATTTCAAATTGCTTTTGATCTTGTGGAGAATGAGCACCAGGCATTTCTCTTGAATGTTAGAGACCGTCTTCCGACTCCCAAGACTCGTCCTGCTGAAGTAGTTCAGGCCATCGAAAATACTGCTCCTCAGAGTGAGACTCCTTCAGGAGATGCACAGATGACAGATGGGACTCCGTCTGTGACACATGTGCAAGAAACAGATCCTGCCGAAGCTACATACTCTGAGAGGTTAACAAAGCTGAAGGGAATTTTATCCGGAGAGACATCAATACAGCTCACACTTCAGTTTTTGTACAACCATAACAAGTAAGACAGTTACTTTCAAAATTTTGATAGTCTAAAAGGAGATATTTTTAATCTTTATTTACGTGGAGTAAACCTACCTATAAACTTGCCTATATGATTGATATGTGTTGTTTATTTTATAGATCTGACCTGCTGATCCTGAAGACAATTAATGCCCAGATGACAGATGGGACTCCGTCTGTGACACATGTGCAAGAAACAGATCCTGCCGAAGCTACATACTCTGAGAGGTTAACAAAGCTGAAGGGAATTTTATCCGGAGAGACATCAATACAGCTCACACTTCAGTTTTTGTACAACCATAACAAGTAAGACAGTTACTTTCAAAATTTTGATAGTCTAAAAGGAGATATTTTTAATCTTTATTTACGTGGAGTAAACCTACCTATAAACTTGCCTATATGATTGATATGTGTTGTTTATTTTATAGATCTGACCTGCTGATCCTGAAGACAATTAAACAGTCTGTTGAGATGCGGAACAGTGTTTGCCACAGTGCTACAATCCATGCTAATGCCATAATGCATGCAGGAACAACAGTGGACACATTTCTCAGAGAGAACTTGGTAAAATTTTCACCACCACATGTTTGCATGACCAACATTAACCACCCATTTGACCTAATATATTTAACTTTTTTGTTTCCCTCCTTTTTGTGAATTGGTAGGATTGGCTAAGCAGGGCCACCAATTGGGCTAAGTTTAGTGCTACAGCAGGATTAGGTGTTATTCACAGGGGTCACCTGCAACAGGGTAGATCACTTATGGCCCCGTACTTGCCTCAGGGTGGAGCAGGTGGTGGTGGAAGTCCTTATTCTGAAGGCGGTGCTTTATATGCTCTTGGCCTTATTCACGCCAACCATGGGGAGGGAATCAAACAATTTCTACGCGATAGCCTTCGCAGCACTAACGTTGAGGTGATTTATTTTCTTCATTCATCAAGTTCAGTCTTCAAGACGTGAAATTTATAGGTAAAAGTGGATGCAGGTCATTCAACATGGGGCTTGTCTAGGCCTTGGTTTGGCAGCTTTGGGAACAGCCGATGAAGACATATACGATGATATAAAAAGTGTGCTTTACACTGACAGTGCTGTTGCTGGTGAAGCTGCTGGTATCAGCATGGGGCTATTGCTGGCTGGAACGGCAACTGAAAAGGCGAGTGAGATGCTTGCTTATGCTCATGAGACACAGCATGAGAAGATAATAAGGTAACTAACTAAGAGTATCATATAAATTTTTTGTAACATGGTTTTCTCTGTAAGCACTTCATAACTTAACGTCATGTGTAATAATTCTTCTTTCCCAGAGGATTGGCACTAGGTATTGCCCTTACAGTTTATGGTAGAGAAGAGGGAGCAGATACCTTGATCGAGCAGATGACTAGAGATCAGGACCCCATCCTGCGATACGGTGGCATGTATGCCTTGGCTCTGGCTTACTGTGGAACCGCTAACAACAAGGCCATTCGCCAACTGTTGCACTTCGCCGTGTCTGATGTAAGCGATGATGTCAGGAGGACTGCTGTTCTGGCCCTAGGATTCGTCTTGTATTCTGATCCAGAGCAGGTCAGTACATGTTGCTTCATCAATTCCCAAATCTTTTCATGGATTTAGGGTTCTTGTGCACTGCTACACTAACTAAAGAATCTACTGATTTTTTTAAATGCAGACCCCTCGTATTGTATCCCTGCTTTCTGAGTCATACAATCCACACGTTCGCTATGGTGCTGCCCTTGCGGTAGGCATATCATGTGCAGGCACTGGCCTAAGCGAGGCTATATCATTGCTGGAGCCACTTACATCAGATGTGGTAGACTTTGTTCGGCAAGGTGCTCTCATAGCAATGGCCATGGTTATGATCCAAATCAGTGAAGCTAGCGATTCGCGTGTTGGAGCATTTAGGTTAGTAGCATAGCTTCCGTATCTTTTATCTACTGCAACAGGTGTCCTTTTCACAGGGATAAATATGAGATTTGGCTTACGCATTTGCAGGCGTCAACTTGAAAAGATTATACTCGACAAGCATGAGGATACGATGAGCAAGATGGGAGCGATTTTGGCTTCAGGGATCCTCGATGCAGGTGGAAGGAATGTGACTATAAGGCTGCTTTCCAAGACGAAGCATGACAAAATCACCGCAGTCATCGGCCTTGCTGTTTTCACCCAATTTTGGTATTGGTACCCTCTCATCTATTTCATAAGCTTGGCCTTCTCGCCAACCGCCTTCATCGGTTTGAACTATGATCTCAAAGTCCCGAAGTTTGAGTTCATGTCAAATGCAAAGCCGTCTTTGTTCGAATACCCAAAACCGACCACTGTTCCCACCACCAATACCGCCGTCAAACTACCTACTGCTGTCCTCTCGACCTCGGCCAAAGCCAAAGCTAGGGCTAAGAAAGAGGCAGAGTTGAAAGCTAACTCCGAAAAGGCAGCCAACACAGAGAAGGCTGGCAACGAGAGCGGATCTGGAAAAGGAAAAGCATTGACCGCCGAGAAGGATGCGGACTCTATGCAGGTAACGTAACCTGCTCGTATCCCTCTTATAGGAACAAATTATTTTCACGTCCTGGATTGGATTCGAACTATCGAGACGCATCTCCATGTTTATTAATCAGGTGGATGATAGCACGGCGACAGTAGAGAAGAAGGCCGAACCAGAGCCATCGTTTGAGATTCTAGTAAACCCAGCTCGGGTAGTACCTGCGCAGGAGAAGTACATGAAATTTATGGAAGATAGCCGATACGTGCCAGTGAAGCAAGCACCGTCGGGATTCGTCCTCCTGAAAGACTTGCGTCCGAAGGAGCCGGAGGTCCTATCTCTGACGGATGCGCCCACTTCAGCAGCGAGTGGTGCAGCAGGTCAAGGCCAACACGGGACGACGGCCTCCTCGGCCATGGCCGTAGACGATGAGCCCCAACCTCCACAGCCATTCGAATACACATCGTGATGATTCTGAGCCAAGTGTGGAGTGGGTTTTGTTTGAGGTTGTCGGAGAGAGCTTCAAAGAGAGAGATTCGATTTGGATGACTTGTTACAACTGCTTTTGATTCGGCTTAATCGTTTTAGGGGTTGGGTTTGTTCTTAGTATAACCACTTGAGATTTCTTCTACGAGTCAAAAATACCAACACTAAGCAAAAGCTTTGTTCTTAGACTTGGAAAGACTTGAGCTGGCCCACCTGGTTGGAATCATTGTTGTTCTTCAGTGATTATCGCCAAGGAATAGGGATGAAAACCAACCCTAACTCAAATCCGATGGATGATGATAATAAAAGAAAAAGCAGAAGTCACAACCCACACTCTAGGCCTGCGCTCAGTGTAAAAGAAGTCTCGAATTACATCCATAAATATGTAAGAATAAATGTGCCGCAATACAGAACAAACAAACAAAGAAACAAAGCTCCTCCTTGTTTATTCTGTATTTATTATTATATTATTAGAGAGAGAGAGAGAGAGAGAGAGAGAGAGAGAGAGGAGAGACTGTGGTGTATAGGTAAAAGGGGGGGGGAGAACGGAACTTAAAGGGAGTCCTTGGAGAGAAGGGAGGAGTGGGCTGCTTCCACTCTGCGGGCGTTGGAGAGGCTGTCCACAGCGTCACCTCTCTCGAAGACGGCGGCAGCGCCCATGCCGGTGCCTATGCACATGGACACCACTCCGTACCTACAGTCTTTCCCCCTCCTCTTCATCTCATGCAACAGCGTCGCCACGCATCTCGCTCCTTCACACACATTATTATTATTCTACTGTGTTCATAATATTCAACCCACATAGATTAAAAAGAGAAACTACCTGTTGCTCCCAGTGGATGCCCAATGGCCATGGCTCCTCCATTCACATTAATCTTCTCTGCGTCCAGCCCCAGCTTGTTCCTGCAGTATACAAACTGCGACGCAAATGCCTGCATTTACACCGAATATCAGGCCCATCCACCGAGGATGATACTAATACTACAGTCCGAGCATGTGTTTTTCCTCACTTCCTCACCTCGTTTATCTCAAACAAGTCGATGTCATCGAGTTCCAAGCCGGCAGCCTTCACTGCAGCAGG